TGTCCAATGTTTCAAATGCTGGCACTTTGGGCACTTCGGATCCCAGTGCAAAAGCAAAGTCGATCGGTCTAGGCTTTGCATCAGGTGCGGACAAGAAGGGCACAAGATTGCTGATTGCGAAAATCCAGCCAAATATGCATTATGTGCTGAGATTAAAAGTGCAGAGAATGTTGCCCACCATGCCGGTACCCATAAGTGCCCGGTATTTCAGAATGCACTCCAGAAGTTGACGAACAAACAAGCATGAGGATACTGCAGCTCAATCTCAACCATTGTGAGGCAGCTCATGCAATCCGTGCGAGAACTAGAGCTTGACTTGGTACTGATAGCAGAGCCATAAAAACACCTGAGTACTCAACCCTGGGAATCTGACAGCACATCCAAAGCTGTCATCTGGTCATGTGGCAAGCTCCCTTTCCAAAATGCGGTCGACAACAGCAATGCCGGCTTTGTAGCAGTATCAGTAGAGGGCATTCGCTTCTATAGCTGTTACGCACCACCTAGCCTCTCTACTGTCGAATTCACCGCATTTCTGGATCGACTTACCGAGGACGCGAAGCATTACCACCCAGTGGCAATAGCTAGGGACTTCAACGCCTGGGCAGTAGACTGGGGAAGCAAGTATACAAACGCGCGAGGAGAGGAATTACTAGAAGCCTTTTCTACATTAGATGTAGTACTGCTCAACAGTGGTGACACACCAACCTACACCAAGGGAGATGCAAGTTCTATTGTAGATCTCACTTTCGTCAGTGGCAGCCTCACCAGAGGTAATATCGACTGGAAGGTGATGGATACCTACACAGTCAGCGACCACAACGCGATTCTCTGGGAAATATTAAACGCCCAGAGCCCGAGAAGACCTAAAGAGCAACTTAACACCATTGGCTGGAAGGTAAAAACTCTTGACCCAAGTGCATTGTTAGTAGCTCTTAATAGTGACCAGATTATCGCAGACGTGGCATGAACACAAGACCTTCCGTTCACTGGTGGAACGACCACATCAGCGCCCTTCGTAAAGAGTGTCATCAAAAGAGAAGAATATCTCAGCGTGTCTACCGACGAACTAACTCTGTGGAACTGGTTGCAGAGTACAAAAAAGCCCGTCGATCCCTGAACAAAGCCATCAAAGATAGCAAGAGAAAATGCTGGAAGGAGCTCATCAACGAGGTGGACAGAGATCTGTGGGGTCAGCCGTATAAGGTGGTTATGACCCATCTTAAAAACCAGCTAATGCCATCACCCACGTGTCCTCAACTCCAACAGAAGATCGTAAACGCGTTGTTCCCCGGACAAAGCGAGTTTAACTACCTAGTAGCGCAGAATAAAATGGATGACATTCCATTTGTCACGGAGGAAGAACTGATGGAGGCTTGTAATCATGTAGGGAACAATAAAGCGCCGGGATTGGACGGGATCCCCAATATTGCCTTTAAAACAACTATAAAAGCAGTGCCATCATTGTTCCTGGACGTCTACGACACATGCCTCAAGGAAGGGATTTTCCCTCGGAAGTGGAAGCAGCAACGACTAGTAGTACTTCCACAAGGAAAAAAGCCACCAGAAGAACCGTCATTTTATCGACCACTTTGTATGTTAAACACAGCAGGTAAGATACTTAAGCGTATAATCCACCAAAGAATAGAAGCAGTTGTCGATCCACTCCTGGCAGACAACCAGTATGGTTTTCGGAAAGGACGATCAACCCTGGACGCAATCAACCTGGTTGTTGCAACGGCCAAGGAGGCAATCGAAGGGATCAGATGGAAGGGTGGAGCGAAGAAGTACTGCCTGGTGGGCACTCTGGACATCAAAAATGCCTTCAAATCCGCCAACTGGGACTGCAGTATGCGAGCTCTGGAAGAGAAAAACGTACCAGGATACCTACGTAGGATAGTGGCTAGCTACTTCACGGACAGAATCCTGAGATACGACACGAAGAATGGTCCAAAAGAGTACGATGTTACCAGGGGCGTACCCCAGGGTTCTGTTCTGGGTCCACTTCTGTGGAATGTCATGTATGATGGCCTGCTGAGACTGACTCTACCAAGAAGTGTCAAGCTTGTTGCATACGCAGACGATGCAGCTGTCGTAATCGTTGCGAAACACCTAGATGAGATAAACTACATGTTCAGTATCACCTTTGAGAAAGTTAACCGGTGGATGGATTCAATGAATCTACAACTGGCTAAACAGAAGACTGAGGCTGTGCTTATTACCAGCAAAAAAGTGATAGAGACCATAAAACTGAAAGTCGGAGAACAAGAAATCACATCACAACCATATATCCGATATCTGGGAGTGATGCTTGATACCCGACTCAACTTTAAGCAGCAAGTCGAACACGTGAGTGCAAAAGCATCAGCAGTGGTAGCTAGTTTAGCACGGCTGATGCCAAACGTCGGAGGCCCAAAGCAGAGCAGAAGACTACTACTATCATCTGTAGTCACATCAGTGCTCACTTACGGAATATCTATCTGGGCGGACGCACTAGAAAAGCAAGAATCATGGAGAAAGGCTGGACCAGTATATCGTCTGAGTGCCCTAAGAGTAGCTTACGCCTTCCGCACAATATCTGAGGAAGCAGTGTGCGTCATTTCTGGAACTCTACCTCTCAGAGTCCTAGCTGAAAAAAGACGGAACCTTTACCAACGAAAGAGGTCAACAATACTGAGCGCAGAAGAACTCAGAACGGAACAAAAACAGCACAGCATCGCACCATGGCAATCTCAGTGGGATGCCGCAGAGAAGGGTAGATGGACGCATCGTCTCATACCAAAGATTGATATTTGGCTGAACCGGAATCACGGTGAGGTCAACTACTACCTAACACAGATGTTGTCAGGACATGGCTGCTTTCGAGCTTATCTTCACCGCTTTAGGCATGACGACTCTTCGGAGTACCCGTCCTGCCCTGGAGCCACTGAAGATGCAGAGCACGTTTTTTTCGAGTGCTTGCGTTTCAATCAATCAACAACGTGAGGAGCTGGAGAAGATCCTGAAGAAGACAATTCAACCAGAGTCAATCGTAGAAGCAATGCTGTCTTCAAAAGCTGCCTGGAATGCAACGAACACTTTTACCACAGAAGTGCTAACAGAGTTGCGTTCCATCGAGAGAAAAAGACCAAAAGACAGAATCTAGAAGGAAAATAACATCTTAGCCACCAGAAGGAAGAGCGGCAGCTAATTCCTCCCCTCGCGAAGAAATGCCTTACGGCGGTACCATGGGGGATCAGAGGATAGAAGAGAAAGGGGTTTAGGGTTTAGTGGGTAGGGGCGTCAGCGTCAAGTTTTAGTATGACGCTGCGTCGAGTCGCCACATATCCGGGCCAACATGTATGCCTAGAATCCGTAAAAAGGATTCCCCCCCCCCCTAAAGGGAAAACACACACATACACACACACACACATACACACACACACACGACACGAAGAATGGTCTAAAAGAGTATGATATTACCGGAGGTGTACCCCAGGGCTCTGTACTTGGTCCACTGCTGTGGAATATCATGTACGATGGCCTATTGAGATTGAAATTGCCAAGAAGTATAAAACTCGTAGCATATGCAGACGACGTAGCCGTAGTAATCGTCGCTAAACACCTTGACGAGATTAACAACATGTTCGACATCACCTTCGAGCGAGTCCATCGGTGGATGAATACGGTAAACCTGCATCTGGCTACACACAAAACTGAGGCAGTGCTTATATCCAGCAGAAAAGTGTTAGAGACCATCAAGCTGAAAGTAGGCGAACAAGAAATCACATCACAACCTTACATCCGATATTTGGGAGTGATGCTTGATCCCCGACTCAACTTCAAGTAACAGGTAGAACACGTCAGTGCCAAAGTATCAGTAGTAAGAGCTAGCCTGAAACACACACACACACACACACACACACACACACACACACACACACACTTAGATCAATTTATTCAAACAAACCTATCATTCTCAATCACTTAAAACTCAGAAGTTCCCGGTCTATTAGCCTAACATGCTAGGGCCGAATACTTAAAAACTATAAATATTTTAAATGTAAAATTAGTTAATTACCCTAAATCAATTTTTTTTTCATAACAGTAAATTTCCTAAAGACAAGAAACGAAGCGACTTTCAATAAAATGGCCAAATACTTGGAACCTCTCCATTGCAAGATATGCCGAGCAATAATATTTGAAATACAGCACCATAAATGATAAAATTATAATTTATTTTTCTTGTTTACTGATATTCGGAAGAATATTCCATTAATTTGAATAAATACCGATAATTACTAGATAGTAAGGTAAGGTTGTGAAATAACCAAAAATTACTTCGTAATGGTATACATCGTCACAAAATCGAAAAAAGACTGGCTATAAAGAGATTCTTAGTGGCGTTAGTAACTTCACAAAATTTCATACAAGAGTAGGGGTAATTATTGACGACCATTGTCTATAACCTAATTCTCTATCGCGACTGTCACTAATTAATTTTTTAAATTACATAATTTTTTGACTCGGCCCTTCACGCGAAACATTATCGGCTAACACTATTTACAAGATGATATAGTAGTAATACCAACGTGCGTTTAATAGCCACATTGAAAGTAAAATTATAACTTGAATATATTTTGATTTCATTGTGTAGACAAAATCACTCATTTCTTGACAGATATGACATCAACCACGTAAACGAAAATTTAGCAATGCAATTAAATGTTAAAATACGTTGACTAGTCAGAATTCCAGTATACCCCCTTACGTCATAGCTCAAGACCGGGAATTGACTAGAAGAATTGAATCATCCAATCACCTCTGACCCCATTGATTGTTGTAAGACTAAAATACTAGCTGAATGATGAATTCACACTAATTTGATACATGATTTGTACAAGACTGTTATAAAGCATACTCTATATTTATTTCAAAAATTTTACAGGTATAATAAGAGAAATAACTCTCACTAAAATCATCAAAATCGATACTCAAGATAAAATTATACTAGTTCAGAAACTATGTCTCATAACAATATTCCTTGCATTTTCAACGATATCAAAGATCCAGGTGATCGATTTCGGCTGGATAATTTGATGAACAAAGGCGTATATGGTACTGTTTATTCAGCAATTGACACTCAAGCAGGTAAGATATAATTTTCTGAAGTATAAATTACGTGCAAAGAATAAAACTCACAAAGATAAGGAAACCTCATGTATTAATAAAATGCCAGACAATTTTTCGTAAATTTCTAAATTGATCAATCGAAATTTGTGAAAATCGTTAAGATAACATTTTACTTTCGTGAGTCTTCTATACGATTTTTAGTAGACTATGAGAATCTAACTATTGCATTAGTCCTCGTGACAAAACTTTTGAAAAATTTCGATTCAGTTCGTCAACCTGATTCAGAAAATACATATCGATTGGAAGTTTATAAATGTACTAGCATGCATCATGCGCGTAGTGTTATACATTTTTGAAATTTTTCTTTTCAACACTTCATTTCGCAACGAGGCCTTTATTATCTAATAAAAGTTCTCGGTCCATGCCACTTAGTTATCGACGGATCCTAGAGCACTTCGATCCGAAGTATTCGTGGAAGTAGCTTTGAATTAGTAAGTCAAACCCCGAGGTTGAGGCACTGACGCCGTGAAATTGAGAAGATCTGAGTAAAGAAGAAAAGAACGTACCATTAAACTAGAGAAAACACTTTGGATGTTGAGCTCATCACAACGACCACGAGAAAATAGCACAGATTCAGATAAACATTGTTAATCCTTCCGGCCCAGTGGAAAGAATGGATAAACCTTTACTAACTATTTAATTGGCTTGCTAGAAATAATGCCGGCTCAGTTATTAATTAATAAATTTCAATACCAAATTAGATTAAAAATTGTTTCGATTAAAATGAAAAATATATAATTGAGCGATTGGAACGAAAGAAAAGCTAAAAAAGATGGTGGATAAGGATTTTTGCGGTGCAAAAGATTTTCCGGAGTATCAGAGACGAGGAAAATCAGACCTTCGAAGGACTGCTAACCAACCACTAGGTGTCCAGATAAGATAGTCAGACCATCACGTACTTAGGCATCATGTCAAGTAGGGGAGTGTAGGGTCACCCCGGTCACCTAAGAAAAGAATTTAAAAAAATATTAAAAGTATCATTTTGGAATAATAAAAAAGACTTTATTTAATTCTTTGACATCTGAAGAACTAAATGCAATAACTAAAAAATATGAGTATGAAGATAAATAAAAATATTTGAGAAATTATAGAAATAATGAGTTTGACCGGGGTGAACCAACGTGTTGGGTCACCCCGGTCATTAGGCAGGTCGCTCCGTTCAGTATTAATTTTACTTTAAAAATTAGAAATTCCGAATTATATTGTTAAAATTTTATAAAAATTGAAAATTAATTTTTTTATTGAAACTTTAGCAGTAAATAACATTAAATACTGGTAATTTTCAACATTTAAACTCCAGAAAATCGTCACTGCACTGTTCCCACAGCAACGCAACTTCGATTACCAGTTGGTGCCAGGCGAACTGGACGACACTCCACCTGTCACTGAAGAAGAACTGCTGGAGGCCTGTAACCGTGTAGGGGATAATAAAGCACCGGGATTGGACGGAATCCCTAATATAGCCTTGAAAACCATAATAAAGGCAGCTCAGACATTATTCCTAGACGTTTATAATGCATGCCTTAAGGAGGGGACTTTCCCGCATAAGTGGAAACAGCAACGATTGGTACTGTTACCTAAAGGGAAGAAACCACCGGATGAACCGTCATCTTACCGCCCACTTTGCATGCTAGATACAGCGGGTAAGATATTTGAACGCATAATTCACCAGAGAATTGAAGCAATAGTCGACCCACTCCTGGCAGACAATCAGTATGGATTCCGGAAAGGACGATCAACCCTGGACGCAATCAAACTGGTTGTTGATACGGCCAAGAAAGCAATCGCAGGAACCAGATGGAAGGGTGAAACGAAAGAGTATTGCCTGGTGGCGACCCTAGACATCAGAAACGCATTCAACCCCGCCAATTGGGAATGCATCATGCAGGCCCTCCAAGAGAAGAATGTATCAGAATACCTTCTTAAGATCGTTACAAGCTACTTTGAAAATAGGGTCTTAAAGTATGACACAAAGAACGGTCCGAGGGAGTATAATATTACTGGAGGTGTACCACAAGGTTCAGTTCTAGGCCCGCTCCCGTGGAATATTATGTATGACGGTCTATCAAGACTAACTCTGCCAAGAAACGTCAAACTCGTAGCATATGTAGATGACGTAGCAGTAGTGATTGTTGCCAAACACCATGACGAGATAAACCATATGTTCGATCTAACTTTTGAGCGCGTTAACCGGTGGATGGACGCAGTGAACCTGCAACTGGCGCAACACAAGACTGAGGCAGTGCTTATTATCAGCAGAAAATTGGTAGAGACCATTAAGCTGAAAATCGGCGAACAAGAAATCACATCACAACCTTATATCCGATATTTGGGAGTGATGCTTGATGCCCGACTCAACTTCAAGCAGCAAGTAGAGCATGTCAGTGCCAAAGCGTCAGTAGTGAGGGCTAGTCTCGCACGACTGATGCCAAACCTCGGAGGCCCAAAGCTGAGCAGGAGGCTATTATTGTCATCAGTAGTCACATCGGTGCTTACTTACGGAATATCCATTTGGGCCGACGCATTAAAGACGCAAGAATCATGGAGAAAGGCTGGACCAGTATATCGACTGAGTTCCATACGAGTAGCTAGCGCCTTTCGCACAATATCAGAGGAAGCAGTGCGTGTTATTTCCGGTACTCTGCCTCTCAGAGTCCTAGCTGAGGAAAGACGAAACCTATATCAACGGAAAAGGTCAACCACACTGAGCCCTGAAGAACTTAGAAGCGAAGAACGGCAACACAGCATCGCAAGATGGCAACAAGAGTGGAATGCTTCAGATGAGGGTCGGTGGACGTACCGTCTAATACCTCGGGTTGATGTGTGGTTCAACCGGAGTCACGGTGAGATCAACTATTATCTAACGCAGATGTTATCACTACACGGATGTTACCGGAAGTATCTCCACCGCTTTAAGCACGATGATACCAGAGAGTGCCCGTCCTGTCCAGGGGTCAATGAAGATGCGGAGCATGTCTTCTTTGTGTGTCCACGTTTCAAATAACAGCGCAATGAGTTAGAGAAGATTCTGAAGAAGAAAACCCAACCAGAGTCAATAGTAGAGACAATGTTGTCGTCAGAAGCTGCCTGGAATGCCACAAGTATTTTTGCTACAAAAGTGCTTACCGAGTTGCGATCCATTGAGAGGAAAAGTGCGAAAGACCGAATCTAGAAGGAAGAAATAACATCTTAGCCACCAGAAGGAAGAGCGGCAGCTAATTCCTCCCCCCGCGAAGAAATGCCTTACGGCGGTACCATGGGGGATCAGAGGATAAAAAAGAAAGGGGTTTAGGGTTTAGTGGGTAGGGGCGTCACCGTCGAGTTTTAGTATGACGCTGCGTCGAGTCGCCACATATCCAGGCCAACAGCTATGCCTAGAATCCTTAAAAAGGATTCCCCCCCCCCAAAAAAAACACACACACACACACAAACATACATAGTGACACCCTCGTGGGAATGGTCAGGGAAGCTTCCTAGAACCTCAAAACGTTCATCGGGATCTGATGAAAACTCGATTTTCGAAAAACGGGGTAAAACCAATAACTTCCCGATTTTTAAAAATTTTCAATTTTCTTAGCGGGAAGTTAAAAAAAGAAGATCATAAAAACGAAAAATAGCAAATTGCATAAGTTTCATTCAAATAAATAACAAGTCGATTAATATTCAAAATAAATTAAAAAATATTTTTTTCAGAGCATTAACTATTTGTTTTTTATGTATCGAACGAATGAGAATTATGAATTGTGCACTTCTGCATTCGCCAAACTTTTTTTTTCGCCGTTCAAATGTCACAATAAGAACAACAGCCGCTAAATTATCCGCTCATTTATTTCGATTTTTAGGTTACCACTAAATTTTCTGCACAACTCACGTCACTCAATTCACTTAACTCAATGAAAATCTCGTTGGGCGCAAAAATTTTTTCCGCGGTCGAATTCTTATTTTTGATAAACAAGCTAATAAAAAACATTTCCTCGAAGTATGACTATGCGGTGATGACTACAACAGAAATTCAAGACTAGCAATATATATTGATTGTTATCTCACTTGTCTTATACAAAAAATTCGAATTCATTCTATTCACATTAAATTTTATTGCTTCTTTGATTATTACATTACTAAATTGAATATCTATAACAGATTCATGAAAATGGTTTTAATTTTATTTAGGTCACAATAAAGTTGCGATTAAAATTCAAGTTCTAACGTCCGAAACTCAAGAGATAATAATAGAAGAGTACAGAGTTCTTCGGGATTTGAGTAATCACCCTAATGTTCCTCATTTCTATGGTATTTATCGCAACCGTTGTGGAAGATCTAATAAAGCAGATGAAATTTGGCTTGTTATGGAGGTAAGTTTCAGTTGAAAAATAAAATATTTCAAGGTTCTTTTATCCACAAAATAGAGCTACTTCAGCGAATCCTACTACTTTGAGACTATAGAGTTTTAAAAAAAATACTTAACCTATTTAGTATTGAATTAGTCATTTTGTAATTTTTAAAACTCTATAGTTTGGTCGAAAATAAACAAAATCAAAGAATCATTTTCATGTTTTTTCTTAGTTTTTCTCGAAAGCGGCCATAAAATTTTTATTTGAATTTATACTTCATTTTTTTATAGTTTGAAATTTCTGCACTCCAGGAAGTTCTAGGAATACTTTTAGAAACATTTAATAAATAGATTTTGTCACAATGTTTGCTCACTGTAGCACTTCCCGCCTAGCCTGAACACGCGAGTATTGGAAGTCCCGCCAGATGGCGGCACCTCCCGAGCAAATTGATAAAAATTATTTGACAATTACTGAGAAAGTTCAAATTTATATAATTTAAACTTTCGTTTAGTTTGAATTGATTTGATTACTTGTTTTAAATAATAATTATAAGTGTAGAAAAGTAAAAAGTGTAGTAATATGCTGGAAACTAAGGATTAGGTTTAGACTGGTTGTCTCAATTGAACACAGCGAGAATATTATTAAAAATAAAACTATAAATTTATTAACACTGTATACACCTTAAATTTGTATTAATGAAATAGCAGTGTGTGTGTGTGTTTTTTTCCCTTTAGGGGGGGGGGGAATCCTTTTTACGGATTCTAGGCATAGATGTTTAGCCTGGATATGTGGCGACTCGACGCAGCGTCATACTAAAACTCGACGCTGACGCCCCTACCCACTAAACCTTAAACCCCTTTCTCTTCTATCCTCTGATCGTGAAAGAGTTCTGCGCAGTTGGTCATTTTTACAATAAGAACGACCCATCATGAAGATGTTCTTTATTTGCTCCACCATGTCATTGGCAATCATTGCCTGCTAAAATCAAATGTTTTACTTATTATCAATGGATAATAAGAAATCGTAATGGTATTCCGTGGGATGCTGGTTTTGTTGCGCATGAAGATGTAGGACATTTTATTAGAATGGCGATATTAACCGATAAGCCTTACTACATTTCTGTTGTTGGAGAAGAAAAGAAACAGTGGCTCGAAAAAATCATTGGTACAAGTATTCCGATATTACATATCGACATGATGGGATATCGTGGGTACAAGAAACCATTAAACTGCAACTATAGTATGTATCACGAATACGTCACGAATTCTGAATGTGCTTGTCAAAATGCTCAAAGTATGTATGAGTGGTACAAGATCAATCGGGGTATCTACAGTCAGTACAAGTCAATTCTTCTTTACCTACAGTCAGGAGAAAGCATTCTCAAAATGGCGCTGAAAGATATTGCGCAGTTATCTGTAGAATTTATACTATCATTTGCATTAGATGATGTGGATGAAGTGTGGGACTCATTGACAGAAGAAATGAAAGAAAACAGCGAAATTAAAGGATATCGAAGATGTACTGAACATTACACCTCTCTTTCTAACGGTTGTGAACATTTGAAACGAAACTGCATCAACTGTGTAGAGCTTGAAGATAGCTGATCTTTTTTTGTATCCAAAGAATATAAATAAAAAAAAATTAAACTTAATCTTGTGTTGATTATTATTATTATTATTATATTATTTAAAAAAAAAAAAAAAACAAAAAGTATGGTCTTCGTGGTTCTGTTGGCTCGGGGATTCGAACCTAGACCCTACAATTTACACATACTCAGATACCAACCAACATACCTCCTGATTCAACGAGCCACGAAGACCATACTTACTTAAGATTAAATTGGAAAGGTTAATAATGGATTAACATTCTTTTTATATGTATATGTTATTTTTATTGAAAATTAGAAAAATATATTACACAAGTTTACGTACATTTCCACTAATTGGATTATAATTTACAATACGATCATGAATGATTAAGCAATAAGCTGCTGTCTGATCTGGAATTGCTGCTGCAGACTCAAACTCTAGACGAATGTCTACAGGTCCTGATTTTAATGATTCATTCTGCATGGAACAGTCAATAACAATCAGTGGTGCTTTAGATATAAAATCTTTTTTCGATAACAATGGTTCAGGTTCTTTATTATAGTATGACGCTTGAAAATTTGTGTACATTTCATATAATATAGCATACTGATTCTGTGTAATATTGAGATTCAAATTTCCGTATGGATAGCATTGTGAATTCAAGTATAATTTCACATCACGAATACTGCAGTGATCAAATTCACATGCATTTTTATCTGCTTGATTTTTCCGTGATGTTTGAAAGCCCAAAACAACGTAGCGTAGTTTTTCCAGTTGATTTGATGTTTTAACAGCCCATACATGTTTAGTTGTTAATGGTAGTAATGGATATTCATACAATTCCCACGTGCGGTAACTCATTGATATTGATGGATCTCCAGAAAGATAATTAAGAAGTTGAATATTTTGCTTGTCTGCAACTTTAATGTACGGCATCAACCACTCAATTTTATGAAGAGTAATTTTGAATTCTTCAGCAGCTGTTTGAAAAATAGCATCTGTATCTGTTTGAGATCTTGATATTATCAATTGATGCTGGCAGTTTGGTATGATTCGACGATAATCTTCTGCAAATCCACTCAATAGATTGAGGGGAATGCATACATCAAAATATCCATTCTCATCAGTTAATGAATCAGTAGTGTTTTTCAGCCATCCAGCATTTTCTAATAGAGTTGTTTGTGTTCCACTTTGTGATAGGTATCCTTTTACAGCACATGTTAATCCAACATTGTTTATACGATCAATTTCTTCACCGTTTAAAACATAACGTATTTCTCCAAACAAGTAGCAAATACCCATGTTGATAAATTTTGTTGACGCTGTTGCAGCATTTCCTTCTTTCTTCGTTAGTCGACCATGTATGTGAAGACTACTCTTGCTTGGTAATAAATAGAGATTTTGATGTTGCACTACAATACGGATTTCATCGTTGTTGTTGAATGTTGATGATGCATATGGTTGATGTGCATGAACCTCGTAATGTGAGATGGACTCATCACAAACAATACCTTGCTGAATAGTTAAGATGTCTTCCATGGTATTACACAAAACAGACAGCAGAAATGTATTTTTATTTTTTGCCACACCGCAGGTGAAGACCCAGGCTCTTGAGGAATGCTACGTTTTGAGGTGTTAACCCTTTGGAAGGTTTTCGAGGACTGATGGTTTTTTGCCATCTTTCCTCAGTTTTATAGCTTTTTCCAACTTTACGATTGTAAATAATTACCATTGTCTGCTGATAGATTTTATATGTAAACGAATTGTCACTGTTTCTCCACGAAAATTAACAACTGTACCACGTTCATTAACAATTTTCAATTGGAGGTTATGTATTGCTCGTACGGTGACTGGAAGGTAAATGACATGTGCTGGTACTTCATTGATCTTATATCCTGGTGGAACTGTTGGAAAAAACTCATGAATCGTGTGCACTTTGCGTTCGTTTATGTATGCACCTGAAGTTATATTGCATTCAACTCTCAATGCATTGATACTGAGAATTGAAACAGGCAAATCTGATTGATGTATGACATTTGGTTCCAATTTCCTTGCAGAAAATCCCAATAGACGTCCAATAGAGTTTTCTGGCATAAAATCAATTTGATGGTTGCATTTTAGTCGACATCGAAGTTCATTGTTATTTGGTTTCAAACTAAGAGAGACATCTGGTAGTACTTCTGTCAAGTAAGTTTCAATATCTTCTATTTCATAACTTCCTGTTGGTATTGTTATTTGTTTATCCTTGTCAAAGTAAAATTTGTTGTGATCTTCATCAATATTAGGTATTGAATTAAATGTTAACAGTTCAATAAGTCCTAGTACATAATTTTTAGAACTTGACAATTCGATTGGTGGAAAGTAGTTTGCCTCCAAGATGGAGGAATCTCCTGACAGTGTCAATGTAAACGAATCATCCATGACTGATTGTTTTTTCAAATTTAGTTTCTATTTATAGCTTTCCACTGAGAAATTCCAAACACAGATGACCACATATTACAGTATTGTACTCTTGATATCGTTTATGATTGTATTTTACGCTACCAACATCGAAATATTGCATCAAATCTTTAGGTGGTTGGAGATCTCCAAAACTGTCAAAATAAATGACTTGATCTCTTGACTTCTTATACGCCACCCAGTGAGTTCCAGGACCATCTTTATCATCAAGGTTTACAATTGCAGATTCTTTGATTCTTGGTCCTGACTCGGGTAAAGCATTTCTCATGAAAACACCTCGAAAGTGTGGAATTTTCATTATTTTAGCATATCTCTTTATATCGATATCAGTCAGAGCTCGATGTGGTAGCTTTATGTGTTTTTTGGATGAGGTCGTAAGTACAGACCCACTCCTTTTTTGTGTTTATTCAAGTGCATTCCTTTTCCAATTGCTATTGCTTCCATTGCAGAATTATGTCTTTTGCTTTCGGCCAATTGCTCTTTATTAGCATTGGCATCATTCACAGCTTTTGCTATACCAGCAGCTCCACCTGCAAGAGCACCTGTTGCACTAAGTCCAGCTAAAACAGGGATGAGCATAGGCAAAAATCCCCCAACTTTTGCAGGCATTGGTAGTACTCTAGGTGTTGTCTTGATTTTTTTCTTACCACCAAAATTTTTAACAGCTTGACGAGCACCATTCAGAGCACTTTTAATTATGTTAGGTCCAGGTAGCATAGACTGTTTTGCAGCTTGAACGATTTGTTTGAATGGAACTTTAGGTCTCTTTTTCTTCTGAACTTTCCTTTTCAAGCTGCCTCCACGTTTAGGTTTACATAACCTCTTTGTTGTACGCTTTTTCTTGGAACCTTGATGCTTCTTCTTCAATCCCATTCCAAGTTTTCTCTTCATTTTCATAGTTTTGTTTACAGTCCAAGCAGCAGCTTTTTCACCAACACTCACGTCTTTAGCTTGAAAACGTTACAATGCTTTTTCAGCAAGTACTTTATCAGCTTCGTGACGAGCAGTAAGATTTTCTCGATTTTTAGAGTATGCAATATCGTGCTCTTTACATGCAACGTCGAGTTGATTAATGCCAGGATTACCTTGAGCTAACCTCTTTTTCAATTTTGTACCGGGCCCACAATATTGATATCCCGGTAAATGCAATTCAAATGGAAGGTTGTTGATAATTGTATTCACCAAGCCACTTCCTCGCTTACGTCTGCACTCTTTCATGACTCATTGAAGACTGATGAAGTATCCGAGAATCATTCATATATATAGTGTAGCGCTCATGGAAAACTATCAGTCTTTATCAA